TACAGAGAAGGAGGAGGAGGAGGAGATTGAATTTATCCCCCGCCCTTCACTACCCAAAGGTATGGCCTATTATGCTAATGAGTTCCTGCTGGGCGTTTTCTACAAAAAAAGCCCTGGATCAGGCCAAAGGCCCATCTAGTCCAACACTCTGTCACACAGTGGCCAAAAATACCAGGTGCCATCAGGAGGTCCAGCAGTGGGTAGATAGATTCATGTGGGTAGCCGTGTTTGTCTGAAGCAGCAGAACAAAGTTTGAGTCCCGTGGCACCTTTTAGACCAACAAAGTTTGATCCATTCATGGTATAAACTTTCATGTGCATGCACACAAAAGCTTACACCGTGAATCAAACTTTCTTGGTCTTAAAGGTGCCACTGGGCTCAAATTTTATTAGATATATGGCACTTGTAGATTTCTGGTGGGCTTCCAGACCATTCACCTCTTCTGGCTGTAGTCTCCAGATGACTCTAGGAACTGGGAAAGACAGATGGTTGTATAAGTGAAGTCATATTTCATTGCTGTGGCTTGTTTGCTTACAGTTATCAGATGACAGCCAAGTGTGCGTGACCTGCCATTAATTTACCATTAGCTCTAAACACACAATGGAAATGAATAGAGAAAGAGCAAGTTGGAGTGGTGTTTACCGAATCTGGAACACTTGGTTTCACATTCCTCTAAGAAAGGCTGTTTTGATTTGAATTTATACATAATAACTGGAGAGGTTTTTTAACGAAGAGAATGGACAGTGCCCTCCCAGGATGCATTCCACGTCACCTTTCTCCTAAGCTAGCATGAAGAAATAAAAGTGTCATTCAACCAAGGGCAACAGAGTTCCAAAACCATCAAAAGCAATTTTGTCTTTATTTACAAAGTCCTACCCTGCCTTTCTGTCCTCGTATGCGAACAAATTAAAGCGTACATAATAAAATCTCGTTTTAAGGGTCGTTAAAGCCAAACAACACATACGTCATTAAAACATTTAAAACCAAAGGTTACAATAAATACAAAAAAGATTTTTAAAACAGCAGTTGAAACATTGGGGAAGGAGGAAGGATCACTGAGGGAATGGCAAATGAAACGAAGAAGTCTTTGCTGGCAGGAGATGGCAACAGAAGAGGAAAGGTGCCATGACCAAAAGGGCCCTCTCCTGGTAGGATTTCCAGCTCTGGGTTGGGAAATAGCTGGAGATTTTGAGGGTGGAGCCTGGGGAGGGTGGGGCTTGGGGATGGGAGAGGCCTCAACAGGATATAATGCCATAGAGTCCATCCTCCAATCACAATACATCACAATAATTGTTCTTATCAGGGCTCTTTTTGTAGAAAAAGCCCAGCAGGAACTCATTAGCATAATAGGCCACACCCAATCGCAGAAACTCATTAGCATATTAGGCCACACCCCTGACAGCACAGCTCATTAGCACATTAGGCCACACCCCCATGTTACCAGAAGTGTGGTCATCCAGCCGCACCCACCTTTTGCTTGTTATTCTGTTTACATTGTTTGTTGTTAAAACCCAGGGCTTTTTTGTAGCAGGAACTCCTTTGCATGTTAGGCCACACACCCCTAATGTAGCCAATCCTAATGAGTTTCTGCTGTTGGGTGTGACCTATTATGCTAATGAGTTCCTGCTGGGCGTGGCCAACTCAGGAGCCAGCCGTCCTGTGCGTTCCTGCCCAAAAATAGCCCTGGGTCTTATGTACATTAAGAATGAAAAAGATGCTGTGTATGATTCAACATTGGAGCTGGGCGGTTTTGGTGTTCCACTTTTAAGGAAGCAAGGGGTAAGGGCAATGTGAAGCCAGTGGGGTATGAAGTGGTTGCACAAGAGGCAAGATTAGGATTTTTGTGAAGAGGAATGAGAAACATCTATATTTGGACTTTTCACTGTTTGAGGAATGTGACTGGGTCTTTTTCTGAAGGTGTGTTAATAGGACTGTTTTTGTAGTTGTATTTGTATTTTGTATTTGGATGGGGCCACGGTGGCTCAGTGGTTAAGACGCTGAGCTACAGACCGGAAGGTCTGTAGTTCAGCCGTTCAAGACCCGAGTGCCGCGTGACGGAGTGAGCTCCCGTCTCTGGCCCCAGCCCCTGCCAACCTAGCAATTCAAAAGCAAGAAAATTGCAAGTAGATAAATACGTACCGCTTCGGTGGGAAGGTCACAGCGTTCTGTGTGCCTCAGTGTTTAGTCATGCCAGCCACATGACCACGGAAATATTTCCAGACAGCACTGGCTCTTCATCTTGGAAATGGAGATGAGCACCACCCCCTAGAATCGGATTCAACTAACTTTCGAGCAAGGGAAACCTTTACCTTTACCTTTTCTATTTTAACCGTGTACTTTTGAGTTTCTGATTACTACATTGTATTTATGAAAAAACTAATCTATTTGAATAGGTTTAGATTATTGTACTCATTGATTGTTGAATATATTTTTCATTATTTATGCACGGTTTGATCTTTTAGTTGGCAATTGTAGGGGTGGAATGGGGTTGCGGAACTAGGGGGCAATAGTTAATGCAAACCAGTTCCAAGAGGCATTGCGGTCTGTTGCACTGGTCTTAAAATTGGGGGATAAGGGTTAAAAGGTCTTGTTAGAGAGCCTTTTAAGGATCTGGAAAATGCTTATTGTTTTCCCCCTGATACTTTCCCCATTTAAAATCGTGCATGTATCACCAAAGCAAATCCTAGTTGATACCACATCTGGGCTGATGGGTTTTCACTCAGGTGTACCGGCCATCAGTCAAATAGATCTTAGGGCTGCATCAGGATCTCGTTGACTTTCATTCGGCACACGAACCACATATTTCCATTGGAGACCAATTACACTGCCACGTAAGGTCTCCTTAAAGTCAAAGGGACTACACTCAGGATCGCTCTGGGGGAAGCCGTTTAAGGAACGCAGCTTTAATACTTTTCGTTGTACTATTACTCTTTCCCCCTGATTTATAATTATTCCACTAATGCACCAGCCGTGTCTCAGGAAACTCAGTGATAATTTATTTAAAGATGACTTTTGTGGTCCAACTTCTCCCCAGATTGCAATGTTTATTCAGTCATGATTTCCAATTTAACTATGACATGCAAAAACTTCTTTTTAAAAAATGTAATCAAGTATATACCGGTAGAATAAAAGGCGCCTGATTCAGAAGCTTGCTCCAGATAATTGTAAGGAAGCGGAATAGTACCATTTTAAATAGTAGAACTGCAAGCAGCTCGAGTTGCTGACCTCCCGGTTGGGCCTGGCGAGCTCTCAGAATTACAACTGGTCTCCAAACTACAGAGTTCCCCTGCAGAAAATGGCTGCTTTGGAAGGTGAACTCTGTGGCATCACCCTTCTCAGGGTCCACCCCCAAATTTCCTGGAATTTCCCAGTCAGGAACTGGCAACCCTACAGCTAACACACACACCTGGTGCAAGTGTTCAGATGTCATCAACACGCACACATGTCCCCGACTGGATCCACTCAGACACAAATCCATGTTCAGGGTGAATTTTTCAACCTCCCCCCCCCATCTTGGCTTAAGTGATCCTTGGAAGGATGGCTGTGAGCAGGACAAGATGCTTAACTGCAGGAACTCAAGGCTTAACTCAAGGGTCAACCTCCCAGGCCCCAAAGATGTCAGGCTCGCTACCACCAGGGCCAGGGCTTTCTCAGTGGTGGCCCCGTCCTGGTGGAATGAGCTCCCAGAGGAGATCAGGGCCCTGCGGGATCTTTTGCAGTTCTGCAGGGCCTGCAAGACGGAGCTCTTCCACCAGGCTTTCAGCTAGGGAGCCGCCACCACTATAGAGCCCTGGCCCTTGGTTTTGACACCTAGCCTGTGCCACGGGAAGATCAGGAGCAGAATGACGCCTAGACCTCTGAAAGTACACCGTGCGAGTCAGCCATCTTGAATAACTAAATAACCATCACCAGCACTTTATTAATTTGTATTGGCTATATGTATTGTACTAGCTATAAGGGAATTGTTTTTTAGATGATTTTATGTCTTTTAATTGTATTTATGCTTTGACTGTGAGCCGCCTTGAGCCCGCATTTTGCAGAGGTGGGGTACAAATGGGATTAAAAAATAAATAAACTTCAGGAAGTTATTAGTTAAGGAAGGTTTCCTTTTCTAAGTAGGAAAAAAGTCTCTGGCACTAACAAGTCACAGATAGCAGAACACAGACACTTAGGTTTGCCAACCTCCAATTACAACTGATCTGCAGACTACAGAGAGTACTTGTTTGTTTATTATTAATCTCCAGGGCTTTTTTGTGTGGAAAAAGCCCAGCAGGAACTCATTAGCATAATAGGCCACACCCAACAGCAGAAACTCATTAGCATATTAGGCCACACCCCTGACAGCACAGCTCATTAGCACATTAGGCCGCACCCCCATGTTACCAGAAGTGTGGTCATCCAGCCACACCAACCTTTTGCTTCTTATTCTGTTTACCTTGTTTGTTGTCAAAACCCAGGGCTTTTTTGGAGCAGGAACTCCTTTGCATGTTAGGCCACACACCCCTAATGTAACCAATCCTAATGAGTTTCTGCTGTTGGGTGTGGCCTATTATGCTAATGAGTTCCTGCTGGGCGTGGCCAACTCAGGAGCCAGCTGGAACTCCGGTCCTGTGTGTTCCTGCCCGAAAATAGCCCTGTTAATGTCAAACATTTATTCCACTTCTCCTGGAGAAAATGGCTGTTTTGGAAGGTGGACTGTGTGGCATTCTATCCTCCCTTCTTAAACCCCACCATCCTAGGCTCCACCCTCTAATCTACAGGTGTTTCCAAATCCAGCGTTGACAACCCCACAGACACTTGGGGCCCGACAAGAAGTCTCTAAGGGTTTCTGCTGATTATGAGGAAACCACTGGTTTTTCCCTCCAATTTCTTCGAAAGCTCCCCTTCCCCACCTGAAAATATGGCGGCCTCACCTGACGAGGAAAGCCAGGCCGCCACTCCAAAGGCAGTCCCCGGCCCATCTTCTCACACCCGCTTTGTTCTTGTATGCTTCTTTTTAGGACGACGCGGCCCAGCCGCTGAACCTCTCCGCGAAACCCAAGACGTTGGACAGCAAGTCGCCCACGTCGCCGACCTCTCCTCACATGCCAGCGCTGAGAATAAACAGCGGGAGCAGCTCCCTGAAATCTTCGGTGCCAGCAACGTTAGCCAGCCCTTCAGCCCGAGTCAACACAATAGGTAAGCTCTTTGTCCTTTCTCGTTATTTTGGCCTCGCGGTCAGGGCTGCCACCCCCTAGACGGCCTCTGAAGACACGTCCTCCCGGGTCCCCCTCCTTGAACGGTTAGCCTGAAGCAGGCTTTGACCGGCTTTCGAGTAGCTACACGCTCTCCTTTAATTTCCCAGATACGATCTGTCCTTTCCTCACTTTCTGGTATGTTCCCTGCGTTTAGAATCTGTGCGGTTTCCCGCCCCCCCTCTCCCCTTTTTAGCGAAATGTAGATTTTGAAAGACTGTACCTGTAATGAGTGATAATGTAATTGGATAAAAGCTGTGAGGATGGCTGGAGTTGTAAAGGTCACTCTTGTGAGGAGAATTAATGTGTTATACCATTAATAAACCATGGGAACTGCGGACCAAAAGATAACATACTTAAGTTATTGTTAATGACATCGACTTCACGACCGTATATCTTCATGCGACAGATGTAGAAAGGGACTTTTTGAGGTTACCGAATGGTACTGCCGTGCATGCCATCTCAGATAATGGAGCCTGGATTTCTTTTTCCCTTTCCTTGAAGTAGGAGAAGTCTTTTGTGGGCTGGTGTGTGTATGTAGCTGGGTTGCAGTCATGGGTGGGTGAAGATCAACAGTGTAGTCCTAAACAGAGTGTAACTTTCTTTAGGACTGCAGTGTATATTTACTTATCTATCGTACTGTTCTTTTAACTCAAAGGTCTTGAATAGATCGAGATCCAGCCCTCATGCAGGCAATCACCACAGCCTCAATATTTAGCAACTGCCAAGGTAGTTTTCCAATCCTCGTCTACAAGGGAAAACTGGACGATTTTTCCGAGACTGTAAATTCGTATAGCCTATTAAGAGGGAGGACGAATACCTTTCACACTCCAATAAAATATGTTCTAAGGACATAAACTGATCAGATCCACATTTACAAATGCCGTCCAAATACTCTGTGCCTGCACATCAGCCTTCCAGTGTGGTTGAGGGGGGAAAGTCAAACTAAGCAAGCATAAATGCTCTTTTATAATGAGGGATTGTGAGGTCTTTTAAGTAGCTCGGGATAGCATAAGAGAAGTAAACTTTGAAGAACGCTGGCGAGAATACATGCCATGCCCTCAGTAACGTACTTGTTCTATCCAAGTTCAGTACCGAGGGCTTTATTTGCTTTATGATATTCGTATCTTTGTCATTGACTTCCTACCCAATGGAGTCCATTCTTAACAATCACCTTCCAAGACTGCAGTGTATATTTTGCTTCCTGCTATTGACCACTCGTAACACCACCAACATGAGCTCAGGGTGGCTTTCACTCAGCTATTCACTTTCTCATTCCCCTGGGGTGAGCAGGAGTTGCCCGTAGGTGAATAGCCGAATGCCGAAGTGCCTTACAGGCCCTCTCCATCCCTGCCACCAATGCCCAACCACCTTCTTACCACTCCTGGGCCCACTTCTAACCTTTTATAAGTTCTGCTACCAAGTTTTTTTTTTTTTTGCCAGCTAAATAAGAGAACAAAGCAGGAAGTGAGAAGTATTGAGCTGGGAGGAGTTTTTGATTTTTTATGGCAGGTGGCAAAAAACCTGGCTGTGTATCCTGTCTCTGAGCCATCCACTCTACCGAGAACACGTATTGCTGAAATTTTGACATGTTTTAATTACTTTTCTGGCTTTTTAGAAACCTTCCCATTCCTTGTTGTCTACATCTATTTTGCCCTCCTCCCCCCTGTCCACGAAGTAGCCGGCAGTGGGAGTTGGAAGGAGGATTGGTTATTCGCCATCTGTTTGTTTTTAATATTGTATTGAGGTTTTAATTAATTTTATCTCACTTTATTTCTGGTTGTACATCGCCCAGAGCAAAGAGGTGCAGGAGGTCATTAGCACAACTCATTAGCATAACTCATTTGCATATGCCACCCCCCACTGACATCACCGGAAGTGTGTCAGAAGGCAACACCCACCGCTCAGGTTCCACTGGACTGTTTTGGATTGCTAGCTATTGGGGGGGGGGAACGTGCAGATCTGGCCTCGCAGAAGAGGGAGAGCAACTTACCTGGCTGCTTCATGCTCTGGCTGAGGGCTGCTGGGAGCAGGGGGTGGGGCTTGTTGCATGTGCCCGTCCCCTGGGCTCTTTACTGCCGGAGCTCCGCTCCTGTGCACTCATGCAGGAAATGACTAATAATAATAATAATAATAATAATAATAATAATAAGAAGAAGAAGAAGAAGAAGAAGAAGAAGAAGAAGAAGAAGTCACAGCAGTTTTATATAACAAAATGTGAATGAACCGCCTTTGAGAGGAGGCAGCTTAAAGCAAAGAGAGTAAGCCATCTGTGCGGGGGTAAGGTTGCCAGCCCTGGGAAATACCTGGAGATTTGGAGGGTGGAGCCTTGGGAGGGCGGGGCTTGGGGAGGGGAGGGACCTCAGCAAGGTACAGTGCCATGTGATCCACCCTCCACCGTGGCCATTTCATCCAGGGAAACTGGTCTGGAGATCACTTGTAATCGTGGGTGGTCTTCAGACCCCACATGGAGGTTGGCAACCATAGTGGGAGGTCCCGGATTCAGATCTCAGCTCTGCCATGGGCTCCCTTAGACAAGTTTTTCATTCCCACTCCCATCTGAATCCTAGAATCATAGAGCTGAAAGTGGTACATAGGCCTGCCAGTCCAATCCCCTGTGTCTGAAATACAAAGATAATAATACTGGCCTACTTTGCAGGGCTGTCATAAAGGACTGCAGTGAGGTAATGTGTGAGAAACACTTGGAAGGCTGAAACAGCTCAATAAATGATAAGTGAGAGTCAGTGTGGTGTCTCAGAACTCTCTTAGCCCCACCAACCTCACAGGATGCCTGTTGTGGGGAGAGGAAGGGAAGGCGATTATAAGCCCCGCTGAGACTCCTGCAGCAATTGAAGGGCGGGGTATGAAACCAACTCTCCTCCTACTCCTCCTACTCCCGCTAAATCTTCCCAATCAAACAAATTTCACCCTTTTCCCCACAAACGTACAGATCGGCCCTCAGAATTCCTTGGCAAGTGCCAGGCGTACACCTACTTTAGGTAAAGGTAAAGGTTCCCTTGCTCGAAAGCCAGTCGAATCCGACTCTAGGATTGCGGTGCTCATCTCCATTTCAAAGCCGAAGAGCCAGCGCTGTCCAAAGACGTTTCTGTGGTCGTGTGGCCGGCATGACTAAACACCAAGGCTCACGGAACGCTGTTACCTTCCCACCAAAGTGGTACCTATTTATCTACTTGCAATTTCTTGCTTTCGAACTGCTAGGTTGGCAGGAGCTGGAACTAGAGACGGGAGCTCACTCCGTCATGCGGCACACTCGGGTCTCGAACTGCTGAACTACTGAACAAAGAACCCATCTCGCTTCTTTGAAATGGCAGCTTGGCAGTCCCTATTATATGCGTTTTGTGTAATACGGTTCCCTTTTCCTGTCAATGGTTTCCACCAACCCTAAGCAAAAAAAATTTTTTTAATTAAAACCAACCAATAATAGCAGTAATAATAATAATCATTTACATTCAACTGGCATCTATATTAATCATTTCCCTGCACACTAGTGTCTTGGCAGCTCTTGAAAAGCATAAGGATTGCTTAATTTTTCCCTTTTTTTGCATGTGTATGTGCGTGTGTGTGTTTGTGCGTGGTTGTTGTTTTTTTCCATTGCCCTGGTGCCAGGCATTTTCAAAGATAGTGACGCTTAGGAAGAAGGCCCAAATAATCTGATTCTTAAGCAGACTCTTCTGGACAGAGGGGATAATCAGTTTGCAAGCACTATACCTGTTGGAATTCAGGGCGCCAGTATGTTTGCCGGCAACCGTTTGTCAGCTTCACAAATATCGTGGTTCGTTCGCTGTGGATGTCAGCTTCTAGGTTTGTGAATCCCTCCCGCCATGTCAAATCTTTTCTATCCCGCCGATCTGTTAAAAAAAAAAAACAACAACAACAACCTCAAGGCACTTTGTAACCATCAATCAGAACAGTACAATAAAAATAAAACCACAGCAGTACAGAAGAAGCAGAATTTAAAATCGGTAAACGTATTAAAGGAGAGGCATGGAGAAAGCCGGAGCAATGGTCAGCCGCCAAAAGAACCCGGAGCTTGAATTAAGAGTCGAGATCGAATCTCACAAACGCGCCTTCAGTTTGAAGAGCCCCGTTTCAAGTTCAGTGAGAAGGGAACCTCGGAACCTTTCGTTTTGTCAGAGTTTGTCTTTCCTCTTGCCCAGTTAAAATTAATGCATTTTCTTCAAGGCGGTTTTTGCTGCATAACGTATACATGGTGAAAGGACCAGAAGGATTCCCATCAACCTCCACGAAAATGAGGAGAGCCAAAACTGGTGACAGCAACAACCATCTATGAAGTTGACAGGAATTTAAACAGTCAACTCATCCTTGTGTTTGTCTAAAGTGCTGTCAAGCCCCATCCAATTCATGGCGACTCCATAGGGTTTTCAAGGTTAGAGACTAACCTAGGTGGTTTGCCAGGGCCTGCCTCTGCATAGGAACCCTGGTATTCCTTGGTGGTCTCCCATCCGACCACTAACCAGGGCCAGCCCTGCTTAGCTTCTGAGATCTGGTTAGCCCGGGCCATCCAGGTCAGCACAACTTATCTTTAGCACGTGACAATAGCGTGAGCACAATACAAATGTTTCTGGGGAGTTTTTTTTTTAAATGGGGTGCCACCACACAGAAGGTCCTGTCTCCATTCATGATCTTGTCCAGAGATAGCTCCCAACTTGAGGCTGCCTCCCCCCGGTCGTGCTGGTGAAGCCTTATCGGGGCATTTCTTTCCCAGTCCCCCCGGTGAGTCAGAGGTCAAAGCAGCCAAAAGCAGCCTCACCCAACAAGGCAAGCAAGGAGGCCAGGAATGGTGGGGCAGGCCTCAGGTTAGCAGGGGTGGAGATGACACCCCATGGTCCCAGCAGGGGACAGACCAGCCAGGAGGCCAAGTTTGCTGTAGGCAATAAGTGGGCTGGGTCCCTGCCAGGTGGG